TGGGAAACAATTGCAGTGTTGAAAATGAGGATCATGTGACTGTATCGCAGTAGTGCAGCAGCAGCCAATAGCAACAAAGCTGCCATAATTCCCCCAAATTTCATTTCCTTGGCAGTCAGGAGTCCCTGGTTTTGGACACAGTCTGTAAATTAATCCATTTGAGGTCCTTTGGTTCAAAAGGTGTTCCCCTATGATCTACTGTTCTGCTCAGTTAATGGACATCAAAACATGAGGTTTATAAAGCTAATTAAATTGTACTGCTATACTGTTATCACTTTTAGAGTTGGAACATTGTGGCTCAAATTACCACTCATTAAACTGAACATTAGTTTGATTGTTTCAATCATTTTTGCATTTTGTTTCCTTGTGACAATTCAGTTATTAGCATTCAGTATTCTGTGAACTTGGATGGTATTGTTTGCTATAAAAAATCATAATTATGATTTATTGACTTATGTCACGGTATAAATGCTAACACTACTCTTTCATGTAATCTACTTTCAAATGTTTTCTTTTTCCTTCATTTTTAATGTAAGCATATCCATTTTAACCAAGGGATAAAAAATTTTTTAAGCCCACAACAAGTACGTAGTACTCATAACCAGCTCAGTCTGACATCTCTTTAATTCACAGAACTATAAATAACAGGAAGAAGTATGACATAACAATAAATGCAACATTCTGTTATTATAGCTGGTCTCAATACAGGTAGTCCTCAAGTTATAATAACAAACTGGGACTGGAATTTCCATCGCTATGTGATGCTTTTGTAAAGCACATCACAGGACCACATCACTTAGCAAAGCAATTCTGGCAATTCGTTAAACAAGGATTATGTGTTGTTCACTAAGACATTCTAGTTAGTTCCTGCCAGTTTCTAACAAGCAGTGTCAGTGGGAAAGCTGGCAGGAGGATGCAAATCTTGGGTAGCTCACAAGCAGGCTTATGGGGAGATTAAGCAGCTTCTGTGACATAAACAAGGCCAGGCACAGGAAGTGCCTTGAATAATTAGATGTGTGGCATAGAAATTTAATAAATCAATACATAAATTAGTGCGAGCGAGCTCACTCATGAGCAGCTGCTGCTACCTAGCACAAGCACAGCCAGGCTGGGGATGGTTGCTTCCAAAGGTGGGAAGGCGCAAAAGGCAATTGGTGTGGTCAGGGAGCTCCGGAGGATGGAAAACTCTGCAAGTGGCTACTGTGGTAGATGGGCTAGGGGTGGCTCCTGTGGAAAGGAGAAAGCAGTGGCAAGTGCTTAGAGTGGATAGAATTTTCCACAAGAAAGCTACACAATTCAAAGGAATATTATAAAACAGAAAGATGCCTTCAAATTGTTTTGAACTACATATAATCTTCAACTTGCGGCTAATCATTTAATGACTGTTTGAAATTACAAGGGGTTTCGTAAAAGGTGCTTTACCACTTGTTAAAGTGCTACTGGCTTTTGTAAAGCATTGTATTCCTTCCCCTCCTGTGGTCACCTGATTGCAATCTGTGTGCTTGCTGATCGCTATTTGCAACAGTCTGCTAGCTTCCTTGGAAAGTTAATGGGGAATACCGCAGGGAGGGTTCTATGAGGCAGGCTGAAAGACTGCCCTAGGGAATCTCAGATCCACACAGGGCAGCTCTTCAAGAGCAAAAGGACTGCCATGATTCTCATCTTCCAGAGCTGACATTTCCAACCCAAAATTTCAGTGGACAGAGGCAACATAAATCCTTAATTGGATCTTTCTGAAGATTTTGGCTCCGTTCCTACAGCCCAATGAGGATTTGCTCCCAGTGTACCCTTCCAGGGCGTCTTCCTCCCACCCCAAGCACCCAAGCTCTTTCCCTGGGACTCCATTCACTTAATAACCCAGGAAATTGCTTAATGACCACAACTCAGAATGTTGGCTTTGTGGTTGTTGAGGGAAGCAGTCATGTACATGTCTTGTTTAAAGGCCAGCTTTGTTCAACGACCAAAATTCCAGTCCCTACCTGTATTGTAACTTTATTGATATGGCTCTATGTAGTTCCCTTGGTAGCAGTGCAAAAGTAGCTTTTTATTAATGCCTAGATTTTTTTTTTTAGAGGAGGTCTAAGTGCCTATAGGTCTGGGTTTTCCTAAAAATCTCTCATTCCAGTTCCTTCCAATAGTCACAGTCATGTGCTGCCACCTGCTGAGACAAGGACTATTGTAAACACAAAAATGCATAAATTACACATCTAAATAGAAAGATTTAAAAGTAATTGCCATGGGATGAAGACTGGTGAAAAAGCTTGTATCTGCCTGAGTCCATGCCTTTCAGTAGGCAATTTTCTAACGTGCTGGCTGCCTCTGCTTCCTTAGGGGCGGGGAAGGGGGCTCATCTGGACCAAGGGTGAGTCTCCCCCTCGGTTTCCCCTGAAGGATCTTCCGTCGCTTTTGCCTTCTCCCTATGTCTTCCCTCTGTTAAAATCCCCCCCCCCCACACACACACACTTACTTTCAGGCGGATAGATTTCGTGTCTGAGCATTCTCACATGACGGTGGGTCTCCCCCCCCCCTAAAAACAGTTAAATAAAGAAGAAACAATATATCCTCATGCAAGAACTTTTCTGCTTCCGATTACCCCCATGCTTACAAGTTGCAAAGGAAACACGGAAGCAGGGAAGCGGCTGCCCAGCTCCGGAGCTCCACACCATTTTTTTTCCAGAGGGAATCTCACTCGAGTATAAGCCGAGGGGGTTTTTTTCAGCACAAAAAATGTGCTGAAAAACTCGGGTTATACTCGAGTATATACGGTAATCTCTGTAACATGGTGACAATTGCTTTGGATATTTGATTATATTTATTATTTTTTTGGCTTGTATATTTTTTTGAGAAACTATTACTAATTACTGTACTCAGCCATTAAAAGTAGGCTTCTACTGTGTTTAAGTATAAGCACATACTAAATAGGGATACTTTTTCTATTAAATTAAGAGTTATTCTTTATATTCTTTTTCTTCTCTGTTTGAATTGACTCTCAGAGGGAAATACATTTATCAGCCAAGTGAAATGTGCTACATGTGCAGAAATATTTTAACAAATCTGTAGGAGCTCAGTGCTTTTTATGTTTTAGAGTTCTTATTTTAGCAGCCATGGAAATCATCTTGTACCAAGGAGTTAACATGATTTTCAGAAAAATTAATTGGATAGTCAACTTTAGAAATATTTGAACGTCATGAAAAGTTGAAAATCAGTGGAAGGCATTAAACGTTGAAAATTAATTAAAGGATTGATTTTTATTCACATGTATACATTATTACATAAAACCATCTATGAGTTTTTACAGGATTATAAACAAGATCTCATAGTGTGTTATTATCCATTTATTTTTGTTGTTTTTATAGACTGAATGAACACTTAAGATAAAAGAGAAATATATAGCAAATGAACAAAGATAGTTTGCAAAGTTGATTTTGCTTTAACAAAATATTGCAAGGCTATATTTGTCACCTGATTTATTAGTTTTTTCCAGTTTATTATAAATGTTTTTATGCTATTTCAATCAAATGAATCTAGTTTGCAAAGCAAACATGTTGCATTGCTAGAAAACATAATAAACACATAATTGTGCAATATATCCAGAATAACTTCATAAATTCAAAATAATCATGCCATCATTCATTTCAATGCATTCTCTATTTTTCAATCTTCAATGCTCTTTGAAAAACTAGTTCTCGTGCCTTATAAGTAAAAGTGAAAGTGCATATTTAATTTCTAAAAGTAAGTTTTCCTATCAAAGAGGAGCTCCTACAAACAGCTCTACTGTCCAAGTCCCCTCCTATTAAACTGTATGGAATAGGGACTTTCGCTATATGTTGACATCCTTCTCATCTCCTTCCAATATCACTCCAAGTTTCTGTTTTGATATCATCTCCAGGAATTCTTCTGTAAACCAAATGGCCCTCTAGCATTTGTACTCAAGAAAAACAGGTTAGGAGCTATCTTGTTGGGGCCTCCCACATTTCAGAGATCAATAAGGCTCCTGACAAAGCCTCCCTTTAGATTGGTGGGAACTCTGAAGTGACCAAATTCTGCCTGGAGAACAGGTTAACAATTCAGGCAGAATGGGCGCCCAAACATTTGTTACAAGAAAGGAAGAAACAAGGTACAAAACTACATGGCACACCCTGCCATTCATCAAAAACATTTCAGAAACAGTAGAAAGCAACTTCCAAGATCTGCAAGTAGGCGCACACCCAGAGGCTACCGTACGAGGACCAATTATGCGTTGCAAAGATTGCTTGGAGGTGAGAGATACTTCCAGTATAATATATCGGATCACCTGCATGGCCTATGTAGGACAGATTGCAGAACACAAGCAAGTGGTCAGACAAGGAGATCTGAACTCATTAGTAGCCTCACATTGAAAAGAACAAGGACAGACATTCAATTTTGCAATTATCAAAAATGTTGGATGAGCAGGCACAAAAACAGCCAGGGAAGTGATTGAAGCCTGGGAAATGGGTCCCTTGTCAGTCAACAGGAGTGCTGATTTACCATTAGCTTATCAATGCTTGGGAAGTGAGGCCTTGACAGCACAAGGAAATGGCAACCAATGACTTAATAGCTGACTGTCAACATCCCAGTCAGCTACTAAAAAGCCTCACACAACCAAATACCATATAACAGAATATTACAATAATAGCAACACAGAGATTAGCCCAAAGCACAGAGAGGAATTCCCTGAACATGGGCTCTAGCACGATTCCAAAAGCTTGGAAGAAGTAAACCTCTGGTCCAAGTGACCAACCCAGACTGGCTCCTTCAACATTATCCTGGGAAATGTATATTCACCTTCATTTGTGATATAAAACATGACTGTGAAAAAGTAATTTCTGTAATTATTTTCCTGTGATATAGATTGATCTTAACAATTTGTATGAATATTCATATTGTTAAATTGACAGTGAAAATAATGTGGAAAAATGAAATTGAAGTTGCCGTGCAACTAATTCACTTTGTTTTATATTGTTTTTCTGTTTGTGTAGGATTATAAAGAAGCCATCAATCTAATGCCAAACAATAGAGATAATGGTCTAATTCCTGGAAATGACAAATTTAAGCCAGTGTTACCCTGGCCTCATGTTGAAGGTGTGGAAGTAGACTTGGAATCAATTCGACGAAGGAATAAGGCCAAAAACGAGAGATTTCCTCATGCTGGTGAAAAGAATGATCAGCAAAATGTTATGCAGAGACAGTATCTTACGTTTAAGCCACAGACAAATATCTATCATGACCCTGTATTGCGATCTGGAATTCTTGGTAATTTTGAACTCAAAGAACCTGAATCCCATGGAGTTATAGGTGGTCCTGGTGAGGAAGCTAAGCCATATGTTTTAGGACCAGAATATAAAGAATCTATTCAAGCCAGCATTAAAGAATTTGGGTTCAACATGGTAGCAAGTGATATGATCTCTCTAGATCGGAGCATTAATGATTTACGTCAAGAAGAGTAAGTTTTAGTTTTGCCTCTGTTTTATATTTATTCAAGAGTAATATAATTTCAGTAAAACTGATGACACCATTCTAATAGGATATTACTGCTGGGAGGAGAAAATTAATAGAATCCCTCGTACTTATTAACAAAAACGGGCAAGACTATACTGTAACATGGAATTTTTACAATGCATATTTTGTTGATGATAATTTTATGACATGTGCTGTTTATTACTTTGAAAATCATTTAGGAATAATCAGGTTAAATATTTAACACATTTTTACAAACTTTTTCTATAAAGCTTTCATAGTGTTGATGCGACTTATTTATACAAGAATTACATCAGCATTATATTTTCATTGAGGAAATTGTGTCTTTTTCTAAGTAGATAAAATAAAATAAAATAATTTTTATCCTTTTGTGAAAGACTTAATTAATGTAAGGCATTTGTCAACTTCTTGATTATACTATTGTTAGCAAGCCAAATTCTTTTCTGCAGTGTGTTTTTCATGATGGCTCTGCAGTACTTTACGTTCAAAGACAAAAATGTGCTTTTGAAGTTGGGAGTAGGTAGTGTAGGACCAGTTTGCAGTTCCTTAAAGAAGCTGAATGATCCTGGCAAAAAATATTCTACTGAGTATATAACAATATTCTGTCTTATTTTGTTACAAGAATGATTTTGTAAATACCTGCAAAGAGTATCTTTCTCTTTCTTAGAATATAGTATAGAAGTCTTTTAAAACTTTCTGGCATTCAGTCTGGTTTGGAATGCGATACCTGTTATAATACATAATTCTCACATAAACATAAATAATGAGTAACATTTCAAATTCTTCTACTGCCCCAAATTCATAAATAGGCATTTAGAATTTTTTCAGAGAGCATGGATTCAATCCTGATCATAGGCCTGTGAGAAATTTTGAAATTGTGGAGACCTAAGATAGATAGGATAGCATTGTATTGGATAAGCAAATATTTTAATTCAATAAATATTGTCTTTCTGGGATAGAAATGTATTTTACTGGATGCAAATTAGCTCCACTATTGAGCTTGACAAATACTAAAGTATAGAGCTTTTATCATCTGACAGTAAAACATTTTTTAAAAAAATCCCTACATTACGGTTCAATATTGTATAGATGTAAGCATATGGAATTTTCCCTGTAGCAAGAATTTTCCCTGTAGTGTGTCTGTATGTTGCAAAAAGCACATAAATAGAGCATTTGATACACACAATTTTCTGGCTTAAAAATGCCTCAAAATATGTAGGCATGGAATGAAGCAGAGGTGGTATTCAGTAGATTCTGACCAGTTCTGGAGAACCGGTAGCGGAAATTTTGAGTAGTTTGGAGAACTGGCAAATTCCATCTCTGACTGGAGATTTTACACTATCCTTCCCTTTCCATGCCCACAGAACTGGTAGTAAAAAAAAAATGAATCCCACCACTGGAATGAAGATAAGAATATTTGTAAACAAAAAACAAGGGCAGGATCAACTAAATAAAAATAAATATTGAATAATGCACTCACTGCCATTGTAGCAACTAAAGTACTGTTAAAATAGAATCTTTGTTCTCATAAAAGATTTAACACTAGGTGGCAGAATGATTGTAGGTTTAATACCAAACATGCATGTAAGTGCAATTATATCATAACTACAATATTAGTATTCGGTCTTAAATGTGAAATAGTTGTTAACCATCCTTGCTCGTTTTCATATAATAATAAATGACAATTGGCAATGGCATTATGGCTTTTTATAAATATATTTGTAGACATGGTGATGCAAAGTATAATAACATGCTTTTTGATGGTAGATGCCACTAGATGTCACTTTTGTTCTGTGAAATAGCAGATGGGTTTTTTACATTAAACTCTAAAGTGTTTGTGAACTTGTTTTGATAGTAGTAGACATTTTAATTTATCAATGAGATTTTTTTTAGAAAGGTATGCTTACGATTTATTTAAAATAAAATAAATACTTGCCTGGTATAGATATTGTCTTAATTCTTTTGCTTATAATACCTTATTTTTAAAATTCTGGATACTTTGAATAATGGGGAAGAGAAAAAGAATATAGAATAACAGAGTTAGAATGGACCTTGGAGCAGGAAACTTTATACCATTTCAGGCAAATAGTTGTCCAATCTCTCCTTAAAAACTTCCAGGGATGGAGCTCTATTCCACTGATTAATTGTTCTCATCGTCAGCAAATTTCTCCTTGGTTCTAGACTTGATACATTTCCATCTGTTACTTCTTGTCCTGCCCTCAGGTGCTTGGAAGAACAGGTCAACCCTCTCTTTTCCATGCCCCAATTTCATGTCAAGATGCAGAAGTTGATAGAATTGTTTTTAGTAGTATTTCTGAATTGAATTAGATATAGGAATATGTTAGCATGGAACTAAAACAGTGATAGCTTTAGTCAGTAAAACAAAGGCAAAACTGAACTAGTTTGAAGTCCTTGATAATATTTTTGGCAACTTCTGTTGGATCTTGTTTTGGCTTAGAAGGTAAGCTCAGATCTAATCAGTACTTGGTCACCAGAAAATACCAGGACTATGGGATATACTAGAAGGGCAATGGCAAATCATTATATATTATTGCTATATAGTTACCAGTGGAAACAGACTGAAAGAAGACCTGGACAGTTTTTTAAAACTTCAGTTGATTCACAATATGGTAAAATAAACTGGTATATAATTTTATGCTGTAAATAAAAACAGGTTTTCCCTTAATGGGTAAGCTGCTACAAAGGTGAAAATGGAGTTTTGATCTATTTAATAGATCATATGCAAGAGACATTAATAAAAATTTCGAACTGATAGATGCTAAATTTTCAACTACAACCATTTTTCTGAATTTGTATTTCTATTCATTTTATTTTTTTATTGAAATTAATTTTACTGAAATTAATATTGGTCATAAGTATTCATAAAAAATTTATAACAAAATTGTCTGTTGCAGATGCAAATATTGGCACTATGATGAAAACCTTCTCACCTCCAGCGTTATCATTGTCTTCCATAATGAAGGGTGGTCTACACTTATGCGGACAGTTCATAGCGTAATTAAAAGAACTCCAAGAAAATATCTGGCTGAAATTGTTTTAATTGATGATTTTAGTAATAAAGGTAAATGCATTTAACATCAGTATGAAACCAAGGTTAGATAGCATTATCTAGAAAATTTGAGTAGCCAAAATACTGAGTTGTTATCTCGCTCTTTTGGTTCCTATCTAGAAAGTAATTTGAGGAGTGTATTGGGCTCTTAAACTTTAGATGTCACAGAATGCTTGTCACTGTGACTACGAATTTGTGTTCTTTCTACTGCCCATAAATATCATTTAGATGAAATAAGTTCAATACTAGGTCTTTATAAATATATCATTATTCAATTATTTTGCACTGCGTTATATGTTGCTACAATATGAACTTCTAGATAAGGTTTCAGTTTGATAAATGAGATAATTAGGTATTATTTTCAATTTTCAGTTGTATTGTGTGAATTAATTGAATTGAATTGAAGACCTTGAATTGGATAAGGAGCATGGTTAATAGATTAGTAATGGTGGATCCAGTGGATAGCCTAAATCAATAACCTTTTCAGGAAGAGTTAATAAATGTAGTCCTTGACTTAACAATCACAATTGTGCCCAAAATTTATGTTGCTAAGCGAAACAGTTGTTGTCAGTTTTGCCCATTTTATGACCTGCCTTGTAAGCTATGTTCTGCAGTTCTTAAGTTAATAACACAATTGTTAAATGAAAATATTCCCCAATGACTTTGTCAGAAGATTGTAACAAGTGATCACATGACCCTGGCACACTGTAACTGTCATAAATATGAACCAGTTGCCAAATGTGCAAATTTTGATGTGACAATGAGGATGCTATAATGGTCATAAGTGACTTTTTTCAGTGCTGTTGTAACTTCAAACGGTCACTAAACAAATGATTGTAAATTGAGGACTATACCTGTAGATAGCTGTATGTACAGTTAGACAGATTTCATTAGATTTTTTTAAGATATAGTATGAAGAACTTGGGAAGATTATAGCAGTTGTGTAAACCATGTAGATGACTAAAGTAAATATGGCTGTAGCAATTTAAATAATATCATACATATTTCAGTCATTGCATTTTCTTGCATTTGAGAGGGTATGCTTATCTTCTTCAAAATCCCAATTCATAATTCCTTGCTATATTGAACAATTAGAGATTACACAGAATTGTGAATGACTATTTTAATATAGTATTTTAAACATAACATTCCAATAAAAAAATAGAAATCAATGCAAATATTTTCTTGTAGTTTTAATTATCATAAGAGACAGACATGAAAAAAAATTAAGTACATCCCATGTAAAGATTTGTTTTTCTTGTTTAACTTATTTATTTATTTAACAAGTTTATATAAAAAGTGACTGGGGGTTTAAAAGCAAAATACCACACCATATCACAGTGATGGCAAATCTTTTGGGCACTGAATGCCCCAAGTGCATGTGCATACCCAAAATTCAAGGCGCCCCACCCCCACCCATGTCTCCTGCCCCCATGCATACACACACCGTCTGCACATGCACACCCTCCACACATGCACCCCGCCCACCGCAATGGTTTGTTTTTCACAAATTGATGTCCAGTTTTTTGTAATCTTTTAAAACCCCTTCCTAGACTCATAGGCATCTATAATATTTCTGAAAGTTATTGGAGACCTTGTATGAGCAGGGCATGGTGACTGCATAACTTCAATAACAAAGAACAAATTAAATGTCTGATGTTTTAGGTTCCTGCAGATCCTCTCTAATATTGTTCTAATTATTTACTCCTCATCTAATGCACTTGATTATAATTTTAGGCATTTGAGGTAGTGATAAATATATTTCCTTTGTAAAGTGTACTTTTTCCACATGCATATATTTAATTGACATGTAAATGGTGCATTACATTTGCTGTATCCCTTTATTAATATAATTGAAATAAGGACTAAATATATCTTGAAAGGTGTTGAAAAAATAAAAAATGTTAAACTGTGTCTATGTCTTGAAGGTATTTTAAGGATCCTAGAATCTCTTATTTTCAGGGTCAGATGTACTAATAAATTCTAGGTACTAATAAATGAAGCGTTTTATTTTGTGAGTTAAAGTCTTGATGATTTGAGGGCAGCTATAGAATTTTATCACTGTTCTGTTGTCAATTGAGTCTATTTTACACTGGTCAGAAGCCTAATTTTAAAAAATCTCCTAAAATCATTGTTTTAAAATGGCATACAGTATATACATTTGGGACATGCCTGGAAAATTGGTTAGTATTTCTTTTGCCTTTCTGTTGGTAAAGGAGTTTAAAGTATCAGAATATAATATATGCCTATGATATATTACGGGTTAATTTTTCAGTGTTACAATGTTACATTTTCAATGTTGCCTTTCTGATTTGTTCTATGCTTGGGAAATAATCAAGAAATAATTCTTAAGTGAGCTTGCAGTTATACCAAATTTACATAATGAATTTGCCATTAACCTTTGGAGAATAATCAAGAAATAATTCTTAAATAAGTGTGCACTTATCAGTAACTATACCTAAATTACACATTGAATCTGACATCCTTGATTTTTTTGAGAATGCAGATATTTAGTCAAATATATGTTTGTTTTTAATATAAATGTAGTTTATATTGTCAGCTCAACCTTAAATATTTATAACATACATGGAAACCTCTTTTTATTATTTGATAGAACACTTAAAAGAAAGACTAGAGGATTATATTAAGCAGTGGAATGGCCTTGTAAAGATTTTTCGAAATGAAAGGAGAGAAGGTTTAATTCAAGCTAGAAGCATTGGAGCCCAGAAGGCTAAACTTGGAAAGGTAGAATACTGTTTGCTAAATAAAATCCTTCTTTCCATATAGTCTCAATTTTGCTTTTAACAGATATTAATCCACATTATTATTGTAACCACTGTTCTTAATTGCAAAATTGCATTTTAAAAATAAACTCAACATGTATTTTTATAAGAAAATATAAACTAAATTGAAATCTCCTTTCCTCTTTGTTTTTTAAAGGTTTTAATTTACCTTGATGCCCATTGTGAGGTGGCAGTAAACTGGTATGTGCCACTAATAGCTCCTATATCTAAAGACAGGTAATAATTTGCTTATTTCTATCCCTCAGGAATCCTTTAAACATTGTAATTTTGAAGTATCCCAGCAGATAATATTTTTTTTAAAATGTGTAATTTTCTAACACACTTTTTCAGCTACCCAAATATAAGTTTGCAGGTTGGTTGATAAAACTATGCTTTCTCTATAAGACTAATTTAGGAAAAATACTTGCATTAACAATTTTTATGTACGGTATACTTAGTACTGTAAATAGTTTAAAGTTCTGTTATTTCCTGACGACATTAATTGCATAATTAATATCATTTGTAATGCAAACAGTTGGGAAGTTAATATCCATATTTACACAAACGAAGGCCACATTGAAATGAAGAATAAAACTCTAAGAAAGTAGTCCTCAAATGTGCAAAGCAGAATTGCATATGAATTGTCAAAAATAAAAGATATTATTTAAATTGTTTCCTCTTCTTCCTTTTAAATAGTTTGGGTAATTACAGCAGACCACTAGTTTTTCTTTCACAGTGTTACATAATTCATAAATGTACCTGTTAAAATAGTATATTTGCTAGCTTTAAATCATGCCCAGTGTTTTTAAAAAATGCATGACATGTTTAAAAATGTATCTGTTAAAATAATATATTTGCAAGCTTTATATTGTTTTAAAAAATCAATGACGTGTTTAAGAAACTGGCAAAAATCACTTGCAGGCCCTCTGCCTCATGAAACCAAACAAGACAAATGCGTTTAACAGCAGAATACCACATTGTCCAAATGTAAACCATGCAATTTACATCATTCCTTTTGCCAATTAATTTTCAAGAATCTATGCAGGAAAAGATAAATATATTCTCAACATTAATTTTAATTCTGCTAATTCATAATCTCTGTTCCTCAGTTTTGTTTTCTAGGAAAAGTAGTGTGTGCCTGTGTACTGTATTTATTCAAACTATATTTGGGTAAGGCATTAAAGATAGTGGGTAATCTATTAGATTAGACAGCTTAACCTTGTCTCTTCCCCTTCCATAAATATTTCAGAACTACATGCACTGTGCCTCTAATAGATTACATAGATGGGAATGACTATTCCATTGAACCACAGCAAGGCGGGGATGAAGATGGCTTTGCCAGAGGGGCCTGGGACTGGAGCTTGCTATGGAAACGTATTCCATTAAGCCACAAGGAAAAGGCAAAACGAAAATATAAAACTGAGCCATATCGGTAAAGAACACCGTTTTGTTCTACTGATCTTTGTTATTTCATGCTTACCTAAATTCTTCCATTTTTCCCCCTTTCTTTTCCATGAACCATGGTTCGTTTAAATGTGCCATATGCCTTTCTTCATCATCACCATCATCATCATCCAAAATCCTGCAGAACCACATGTACTGTGCCGCTTATAGATGTCATAGATGGCAACACTTATAATATTGTACCCCAAGGGGGTGGTGACGAAGATGGGTTTGCTAGAGGAGCATGGGATTGGAGCATGCTCTGGAAGAGGGTTCCCCTGACCAAACGTGAGAAGGCAATGAGAAAGACAAAAACTGAGCCGTATCGGTAATCACTAAATGGCTTATATGTTTTTCTTTTTCTTAAGGATGTACTGACCTATTAAATACTTGCATGATCTTCCATTCTTAAAAATAATTCTTTAAATAAACCCTATCTTTATTCACTAACCTGTGATCAAGCATTTCTAATATATCTAAATTAACTTTTGCAACTTGTTTATGGTATGCTTATCTACTCTTATTTTGTAAGCAACATATATAATACATAATTGCTGCTTTAGGAGTTGCTTAGAATGGATGTTCTAATTTGCACATCCTTCAAATTATGAATGTCTCCTATTTCAGTGCATGGTTATTATTCTTGTTGACTAGAAAAGTAATGAGACAGTTCAGGCATCAAAATGGGAAATAGCAGAGCATGTTGGTATCAGTGTGAGCTTGCTGCCCTTTTGACATCTTGGGCCTGTTTCTAGTGTATTGAATTGCCTTGTATATTATTTTGTTTTGTATATTTTAACACGTTTGAATGACGCTGAGATTAGTTTCAATTACTTAGTTGTGTGATAAAGATATTCTGTTATGCTATGCTGAAAGGGAAACCATAACAGAAAATTGTAAATGCTTGCGCTATTGCCCAGATTTTCTATTCAGTGCTGGACCCACCCCAAAAGAAAGCAGAGAACACATCCAGGGTGAAGAGTTTGACAAGGTTACTCCTGCAGAACAGCTCTGTGGCTGGAGAACATTTTAGCCACAGCTCTCTCAAGCTTGGTGTCAGGAAAAGAGTTGACCTGATAAATTGAAGTATTATTAACACTGATGATAACAAATTGCATGACACATTTGCTGTAAATATTTTGATTTTGTTGATTTTTACAATTCTCTTTAATTTGTTTTCCCCAATAAAATGGATGTTCAAAAAGAAACTATACCTACCTGGAAAGATTATTCTAATATCCCTTTTCCCTGTTCCTATACTAATAGGCCTATATTTTGCTTTTGGTTCAATTATTCTTCACTAACAATGCAACCTGGCTTATTTTCTTTTCAAAGATTCTTTCTCTTTAGCTAAAGAAATGGGTTTTTTTTTAATCATTTCCTGCAGCTTTTAAAAAATGGATACTTTTTTAAAGTTTACTTTGTGATTTATTAAATTTGATACATTTCATTGAAATTATGAAGCTTTGATAAATTAATTAAACATTCTTGCTCTGTAGCAGAAAAATATTTTGGCCCATTCTCAAATCCCATTATCCAATAAAGGTTTTTCAGTAGTTTATAGTAGAAACTTAGCAAACTTAGCAATAGCAAAGCATTCCAGTCACTTGGCTCACTAAGAGCTTTTTTTTTTAACCTTTACCTGTTTTAATTTATTCTGAATTAGTACATTTAATCTGTTTCAGTATTCCTAAATTCTAATTATCTTATTGTGACTTCAGAATCAAAGCTTTATAATTTCTGCATATCTAAATTATTCCCTGTTTCTTTAATAAAATAACAATTTATGACATGCTACATGCAAACTCTTTTTGTTCTATCTTCTAGATCGCCTGCGATGGCTGGTGGATTATTTGCCATTGAACGTGATTTCTTTTTTGAGTTAGGCCTCTATGATCCAGGTCTACAAATCTGGGGTGGCGAAAACTTTGAAATATCTTACAAGGTGAACAATCATTCCAGAGAGTCTATTATCATTTTTCAAGTAAATGTGTGATCACTTTTTGTGACTTCATTGATAAAGAGACTAAGTGCCATCTCCATTCTTATAACCTGCTTCTAGTTAAGGTTATATAGACAGTTATGTAATATCAGTTAAGTAATCATTATCAGTTAAGTAATCCTTCATTGTGGATAATCTTAAATTTATTTTTGTTTTCTTTTATAGTTTAAGGCCAGTGTTTTGTTTCTTGGGGTTATTTTCTAAGCCAAGTATAGCTGTTTTTCTGTAGGACTTTTAAAAATAGCACATTTAGGGATCTTGAATTTGTACCTTATTTGCCTAATATTTTGGGAGCTTGGCTTAAAAAGGAAATTTGCATAGGGTGAAGTTGGAGAACTCTTATAAGATTTAAAATATGGTACTTTTTAAAATAACCACTTTGTAATTTTGAAGTTTGAACAGTCAGGTTGAATAATGCTGTACATTGTATGTAGGATTTAATCAAATCAGGAGTCAAATCTGTGGCCCTGACAATTATACCTAATATTTTTACAAAGTGAATTATTGTAAATTGTTGGCTAGATAGAGAGGCTTTCAATTTCACCATACATGTTGTAGTTTGTCATTGGGTAATCTTTTTGATGAAATAATACAAAAATACATAAAAGCAGAAGTCTATTTATGAACTGGAACAATATTTCTGATTAAGCCTACACAGATACAAATTTTTTTAAAATTATTCTGTTAAACCATTCAGAATATCAAGATTTTGGTAACAAAAAACAGTATTGATATAATATCTTCCAAGTCTCTAGCCACATCTGGGTTTATTTCAGTTAAATCCTACTATTAAGGTCAGAAATTGTATTTCTTTATTGTGCTAAAATTTAATATATCAACTTGGAACCTAATTAGCATTTTACTACAGTCTGAAAAAATAATATGGTTCAGACATGTTGCATTTTTTGGTTTTAATGTAAGACTACAAAATGAAATGAGTCTCTAAAATAACTTGCAGACATGACTTCATAATTTGGAATAAACCCAGTTCTTACAGTCTTGACTACTTTCTTAATATTGGACATTACTTATATTTTTTTCTTCCAGATAAAATGTAACTGCTCATTAGATTTAATTAGGGAAGATATATTTCTTCAGTCCTTTCGATAGTAATGCTGAAAGTGCAGGTCAGTTAAACACTTTTTATATATATTCAGATTTGGCAGTGTGGAGGAAAGCTACTGTTTGTGCCTTGTTCTCGTGTTGGACACATATATCGTCTCCAGGGATGGCAAGGAAATCCACCTCCAGCTTATGTTGGATCATCTCCTACTTTAAAGGTAATGCTTATGTCCCTAAAATATTAATATAATTCTACATCATTTCACGTTAATGATTGTATTAAATTAAAGCTGTATAGATTCACACCAGATGTATTTACTTATTTAACATATGGCATAAAATGTCAGGGAAATCTACACATGCTAGATACACAATGCAATCTACACAGTCTAAACCAGTGGTCGCCAACCAGTGGGCTGGGGACCACTGGTGGTCCGCGAGAAAATTCTGGTGGTCCGTAGAGAAATGTCATAACCAAAGCACCTCCCAAAGCAATTAACCCAGGCTACACAGGAACAAAAGGCTGCGCCACCCACATGGCCCACGGGAACACAAGGCTTGCGTCCCTTGCATTGTGAACAACAACAACGAGGTAGTGAGGGGAGGGGGGGAAATGGGGGTGGGGAAACTTGCCCCATTCTCCCCATGCGCCTGGCCTGGCCACCGGGCTGCTTCTTTCCGCTTCTTTCTTCTGCTTTTGTATGCATGCAAGAAAAGCAGCAGAAGACTTTCTCTCCCCCAAACTCCACCAGAAATGAGTCTTTGGGATCCTGCAAGGCATCCTGCTCCAAGAGGCTGCGCTGGTGCGACAAGTCTCACAAAGACTCATTTCTGGCGGAGTTTGGGGGAGAGAAAGAAAGACTTCCTGTGCTTCTGCTTCTTTCCTTGCATGAAGCCAAAAGTCTCTCTCCCCACCTCCGGAGAATGGAGCTGGAGATGGTATCCTGCAATCCCAAATAAAGAATGATTGATCGATAGGAAAACAGAGTGGGGAATTTTCCTGCAGACTTTTCTGGGGATTTTCCCAGGATCTCTGGTCTGCGGGATTTAACATTATAAGTTTGGTGGTCCCTGAGGTCCACAAGGGTGGCGCCCCCTGGTCTAAACTGCTAGTTCATTCTGTTTGGCACTTAACACAACTATCCTTGGTGCACTGAGGGGAACTTTATACCAGTTAGCTAGCAGTACACAGGTTGATAGCTCTTCCAGGTTCCTTTTCCAGTCTTGCCTCATCTCATTCTCGGGTCACAATACCCCACGTCCTGCCAGGTCCAGTGCTGATTTCCACACATGAACTCAGCTAGGTTTTTCCCACCAAAGTGGTACCATTTATCTACTTGTATGCTTTCAAACTGCTGGGTGGGAAGGAATTAGGGATAAAGTGACGGAAGCTCATTCCATCTCACAGAACCACCAGAGTGCAGACCACACCCTGCATGCCCTCCACACCAGAAATGAATAGGAATGCAGAAATTCCTATTCGCCTATTCAGATATATTGCTTAACAGATCTAGATTGAATAGACAACCTCTGCCTGTACTGAAGTCAAATCAAATTAAATTAGATCTAATTTGAATCCTGCAATTGGACAATTTTGCACATCCTTATAATTGTTTTCTAATTATCCCTATTTAGTTAATAGATGAGCATTCAGTGATCCCAGGCAACTTTTTTGCATTCTCTGGAAATCCATCTAAATTGTACTGCTGACACTTGACAGTTAACTTCTAAATACAGTCTTTAAACTGTAAAACTTCTCCACCCCTAGTTTTATTAAATAAAAGTACATAAAAAGTTTTCTATATAATTGCTTACTAATCATCCTGTAAATTGATAATAGGATAATATTCTTTGGTCCCAATTTTCACATTGTTGCAGTAGATGTGACTGAGATTAAACCTTCTTTATAGCAGTCTTAAGTTTATAGAGTGAACTACTTAAATCCGTTTTGATCTACTGAAAATGCAAATTGAATCATTGTGTGAAATATTCCCTTCATTCATAATATCATTTCTTGAATAAGAGATTGGAATAAAATCAGTCAAGTAAGATACAGATAGTCTTTGATGTATGACCACAATTGAGTGCAAAATTTATGTTGCTAAATGAGACATTTGTTAAGTGAATTTTGCTCCATTTTACAACTTATCTTGCCACAGTTGTTAAGTAAATCACTGCAAGTATTAAGTTAGTAACACTGTTAAGAGAATCTAGCTCCCCTATTGACTTTACTTGTCAAAATGTCACAAATGTTGGTCACATGACCCTGGGACAGTGCAATCATCAAAAATATGAGTTGGTTGCCAAGTGTCTGCATTTTAATCATATGACCATGGGGATGCTACAATAGTCATAAGTGTGAAAAATGGGCATAAGTCATTTTTATCAGCGCTATTGTATTTTCCAATGAATGTAGTTCATTACATTAACTGTTGTAAGTCAAGGACTATCTATATTTGCTTTCCCCTTTTTATATGTATGCATTAATTTTGTATTTTACAGAACTATGTCCGTGTTGTCGAGGTCTGGTGGGATGAATTCAAAGATTATTTCTATGCTAGTCGTCCTGAAACAAAAGCACTAGCTTATGGTGATATATCAGACCTGAAAAAATTCCGTGAAGATCACAAATGCAAAAGCTTTAAATGGTTTATGGAAGAAATAGCCTATGATATAACTTCTCATTATCCTCTGCCACCTAGAAATGTGGAGTGGGGAGAGGTAACTAATCTTTCATTTAAGTCAGTATTTTAATACTCTCCTGAGCTAATACTAGCATTGTCTATCTAAAAATGTATATTGGATGAGGACGGTATAGGAATCTTGTAAGAAATAGGTGTCTTCTTATATGTAGAAAAGGAATTACAGTATTTGAAACTGATGGAATCATATTCGATCACAAATTAAACCATATTAAATTAAATTCAGACCTTCTGAACAAAACCAATTTGTCAGAAATCAATGCTGATTTTCCAGGTAGGAGTTGCCTGTCAACTACATATATATATATGCCATATTGTTGCCTGAGCTGAAACTGAAAATTTAGTTTTTTTGTAAACCATTGCAAAAAGTAGCAGATATTGATATATTAATATAAGATTTTAGGCATTATAGTCTGGAAAAGAATAAAAATGTCAGTATTAGTTGTATGAACAGAAATTGTTTCCCAGGGTTAGGCACTATAAAAATGAAAACATCTAATTTTTAAACTTAATTGTTATGGATAGAATGGCCCTTGTGCTTTTTCCAGAGGAGAATTTTGTATTCAGCATTTTGTAAAAGCCAACAGGAGTTAAAATAAGTATTGTCTTTATGAAATTGAATTTACATGGCAAAGAGAAGGGTAAGTAAAGAAGTGTTTGTTCCTAATGATGCTCGTTTATGAGATGGATAGATTGAGACAAACAAAGCAAAATACTGTTTCTTTAAAAAAAATAGGAAAAAAACCAAGACAAAAATATGGAAAATTTTAAAATAATGTTTGCAGTTATTGCCAAGACCATTTTGCCATTCACTGATTCAGATAATTGCCCACTGGCATCTGCCAAATATAGAGAAATAAAACAATAGATACTGAAAACGATTCAAGGGAATTAATTTTGCTTTACATAAGTAGTATGATATCACACCATTAATGTTTTGTCTACAGATTACTTATTTGAAATAAACTCGTTCTTTGCCTGTAACAAAAATAATTCTTATTCTCATGCAGCGGATATTTTCAAAATATTTCATTAGACTTCATTGATTATTGTGGTTGCTGCTGTGAGATAATCTTTAATATATAATGCAGTTTGTGGCAATGGTAGAAAATTTTAGGACAGATTCATTTATGTATGTCATTTATTGGGAAACCATGCTTTAGACAATCAGTGGAATTTATAAAGAGAGGGTTCTCTGTGTTCGTAATTGAACTGAAAACAAGATTAGATATATGCACAAATTCTCTTTCTTGTTTTTCATTTTAGTGCTCCATAATCCAGGGCTAAGGAACTTATGGCCTCTAGATGTTGGTAAACTACAGTTCAGCAACTTCTACTATGCCACACACAAAAAAGATTGTGGCTATAGTTCACCAATATCTGGAGATCCTTAGGTTCCTCATATCTGAAGTTCCTTTGAGAGTGAATGCAACATGCATTAATTATAAAGAGATTTACAGGGTTTACTTTGAATTTTTTGTTATTTGATACACTATTTACCTGTATATATGCATGGTTTCTATTAAGCTGTTTTGTTGTGGTTTACAAATGATAGTTTTCTATATTATTATTATTATTATTATTATTATTATTATTATTATTATTATTATTATTAT